TTTTTTTTTTTTTTTTGGCTGGGGCAGGGTTTGAACCCGCCACCTCTGGTATATGGGGCCGGCGCCCTACCCTTTTGAGCCACAGGCGCCACCCTACGTGTTACTTTTCAAAGTTGAATTGAAGGTACTGTTAATCGGCAAGTGTACCCAGACATGCTATGCACATCTGTTTTACCTGCAATTCATACACTTTTGGGGAATGATTGATTTTACTTCCAAAATATGTATACATTTTTTGGCATCCCCTAGTATATACTCCTTTCAACGACCTTGTTTAAAAAAAAATTACTGCATATGAAGTGCATCTCACATCCACTGCCCTGACCTTGAATTCCACCCAGCGTAGGACAAGAGAACATCCTTTTGTCTGATGAGTGCAGAAGATAAGTTAGATACACAGAAAAATCTACTAATAGTACGAATTGTGACATCTCTCTTTTTGGGGTCACAGAAAAAGGGACAAATGCTTGGCCTCTAAGGATCTTTTAGTGTCCTGTGTGGTAGGGAAAGGGGAGAAATTAGATGCTCTCTTGGGATTTGAAATCTGCAACTTGGTTCCATTGTGATATATTTGCCAAAAACAGAAAAATGACCCCAAACTGTAAAATGGTATAAATAACATTTTATATGTCATCAGCATCCACCAAAAAGAGCACAAGTAGGCCCCTCATACTCAAGTGTGACAGATTTAGTTAAGAACACACCCCCTCCCACCCTAAGCAACCGCACAAATAAGAAAGAAACCAACTTTGTTTAAAAAGAAACACAAAAAGCTTCACACATCTATTTTTAAAATTCAAAACTGAAAAGACTATTTTATAAATATGACTCTTTGCCTCTGGCATTTGTGTCTGCATCTTCCTGCTGGTGGATGTCCCCTGCCAACCTTCTCTGCTCTTGGCGGCCCCAGGGACCTCCGTCAAACCTATCCATCCATGCCCCCAGCTCACATCCTCTGCCTCGCATTCCGTCCTCCATGTGCAGCCGGCCGAGGCCACTGTCTGGCACATCAATCAGCCCTGCCTGGGGGCCTTCTGGGCTTGCTGCAACAGGTGTTATTCTCATCCTCAACTTTCCCAAAGTTCACGTCTCATCTCTCCAACTTCTTCAGAGGTGGCACCAGAACTTCTTTGATCAATGTGTATTGATTATATACTATGCGCAGGGTCCCAGGACATTTAATCCACCAGTCAACAGTTTAAAATCAGCTTCCTGGGCGGCACCTGTGGCTCAGTGAGTAGGGTGCTGACCCGATATATGGAGGGTGGCAGGTTCGAACCCTGCCCCAGCCAAACTGCAACAAAAAATAGCCAGGTATTGTGGCGGGAGCCTGTAGTCCTAGCTACTCAAGAGGCTGAGACAAGAGAATTGCCTAAGCCCAGGAGCAGGAGGTTGCTGTGAGCTGTGACACCACTACTCAGGCTGACAAAGTGAGACCCTGTCTCTTAAAAAAAAAAAAAAAATCAGCTTCCCCATAAAGTGCTGAAACTAGATGGCCATGAGGATTGCACAACCCAATACATATATGAAAACAAATCCCTACACTATGTACTTAAAATGGATGAATTTTATACTATGCAAATTTATACTTCAATAAATATGTTTTTTTAAAAAAAAAATCACCATCCACATCTCAACACATATTCCTGTTTGGTGCAGGGCCCAAGGTGGAGACCTATGTTCGCTGCCTGTGGACAACTTGTCTGTTTCTGGTGAGACGAGTCACCCGATGGTGGAGGGGCACAGAGAGGGCAGGCTTCCAGACGTCATAAGAGGTGGGATGGGAAGAGAGGGGGCAGGAAGGTGAGCAAATTATGCTGGCGACATGGTAGCTGGAGGTGGGGGTGAGGGAGGGGAGAATGTGCTTAATGTGAGGTTGGACCACATATGCTACTATCTGTGTAGGTCCAAAAAGGCTGAATGCTGCGACGCTCACAGTTCAGCCTAACATGCGGATGGAGCTGAGGCTTCCAGTCAGCCCCTCTGCTTATGGGCAGAGTGACCGAGGGCACGTTACCTAAACCCTTTGAGCCTCAGTTCTCTCATCTGTAAATGAGGACGGCAGAGCCACATGTCAGAAGCACATTTTTGCTTCCATTTTTTTTAACACACATGCAATGCCTAGCTCATGGTGTCCTTCTCTCCTGCTACTCTACCAGCTCCAGACCAGACAGAGCAGCAGACCTGAGCACGAGCCACCAACCTCTCCAGGCATTGCTCTCATCTCCCCTTTAACACCAGTCCCCCAATAAATCAGAAAGGTGGCACAGTTCCGCACAAAGAAACAAACGCTGAGAGTCCCAGCTGTCCCCGCTGGACTGTGGCCGGGACAGACCGCATTTGGCATCCTTTACACCTTCTCTGGGGGAGCCATTGAAATAAAGCCAGAACACACACAGCCCAAGACAGAGGTGGGGAGTGAGCAAAACCAAAGGCTCACCTGGGGGGACTCTGCAGAACCACCACACAAGGCAGTGAGTATTCAAGGGCCAAACCACTGAAAACCAATAACAGGTCAAGAAAACATCTCCTGGCTCGGCGCCTATAGCTCAACCGGCTAAGGCGCCAGCCAC